CTCATTCATATTGTAAATTATGTCAAAATTTTATTCGTTTTGTAGGTGGGGTAACATTCCATATATGCTATATTTTGTTTATGCATTCCTCTATCAATGGACACTTGGGTAGCTTCCACCTTTTGGCTATTACAAATATGTTGCTATGACCATGTGTGTACAAGTATCTGTTGTATTTCTCCTTTCAGTTCTTTTGGGTATATACCCAGAACTGGACTTGCTGGGTCATATGGTAATTCTATTTTTAATGTTTTGAGAATTTCTATACCATTTTCTGCAACAGCTCTACCATTTGCATTCCGCCCCCAGCAATGCACAAATGTTCTGATTTCTCCACATCCTTGCCAACACTTGTTATTTTGGCTTTTTGTTTCTTTTTTTTTTAAGATTAAAAAAAATGATTTTATTTATTTATTTGACAGAGAGAGAGAGATCACAAGTGAGGAGAGCAGCAGGCAGAGAGAGAGGGGGAAGCAGGCTCCCTGCTGAGCACAGAGGCCAAGGACCCCAGGACCCCAGGACCCCAGGACCATGACCCGAGCTGAAGGCAGACACCTGAAGACTGAGCCACCCAAGTGCCCCGGTTTTTTGTTTCTTAATAAAACTCATCCTAATGGGTATGGTGTGGTATCTCATTGTGGGCTTGATTTGCATTTCCCTAATGACTAGTGGCATTGCACGTCTTTTCATGTGCTTGTTGGCCATTTGTATATCTTCTTTGGACAATTGACTTTGGACATGACTATTCTAAACTCATGTATTAGAGTAGGTTTTTAGGTAGATTCTTTATGATTTTCTATGTACATAATCAGGCTGCTTAAAAATGCAGACAGCCTTAGTACTTTAGTTCTAATCATTATGCCTTTTATTTTTTATTAACAGACTTTCCTTTTAGAGCAGTTTTAGGTTTATGGAAAAATTGAGCAGAAAATAGAGTTCCCATGGGCTCCCTGCTGCACACCGTTTAACTTATTATTAACATCATGCATTGGTGTGCTACATTTATTATAATTGATAAACTGATATTGATCCCTTATTATTAACTGAAGTCCATAATTTAGAGTTCACTTTGTGTAGGTAGCTCTACGGTTTTTGTCAAATATACAATTTCATGTATCTGCATTTATACTATCATACAGAATAGTTCTAATACCATAAAATTTCCCGTTCTTCACCTATTCATCCCTCATTTCCTCCACCAAACACCACCCAACTATTTACTCTCTCTGTAGTTTGCCTTTTCCGGACTGTCATAGAGCTGGAACCATGTAATATGTAGCCTTTCTAGACCACTTTCACTTCACCATATGCATGTAAGTTTCCTTCCTCTTTTTCGTGGTTTGAGAGCTCATTTCTTTTTCTCACTAAATATTCCATCGTGGTGTGGATGCACGGCAGGGGGTCTCTCAGTTCACCCATGGGAAGGACTTCTTGGTTGATTTCAACTTTTGACAATCGTGAATACAACTGTTGTAAACATTCATACGCAGATTTTGTGTAGACATTCAACTCACTTGAGTAAATTCAAAGGAGCTCAGTTGCTGGATCCTATGGGGAAGCCTACTTTAGTTTTGTATTAAACTACAGTGTCTCCCAGAGTGTATTTTTTTTTCTTTTTTTGCATTTTGCATTCCCACCAGCACTGAATGAGAGTTCCTGTTTCTCCATATTTCGTGCTATCAGTGTTTTGGTATTATCAGTGTTTTGAACTTTAGACTTCCTAATAATAGATGTATAGGGTGATTTCATTTTTAAATTTAAAATTTAATTTAAATTTAATTTTAAATTTTTAAATTTAATTTTTAATGTTCGATTCTGTAATAATATATGATGTGACACATCTTTTCATAGGCCTATTTGTCGTCTGTACATTGTCTGCTCAGAATTTTCTTAATTTTTAATGAGTTGTTCATTTGCTTGGGGTTGAGTTTTCAGGGTCCTTTGTCTTTTTAAGATAACCAGTCTTTCTCAGATGTGTCTTTCGCAAGAATTTTCTTCCAGTCTGAGGCTTACCGTCTCATTCTCTCTCCAGCATCGTCTTCTTTTTTTTTTTTAATTTTATTTATTTGAGAGAAAGACAGTGAGAGAGCATGAGAGGGGAGGACAGAGGGAGAGGCAGACTCACCATGGAGCTGGGAGCCTGATGTGGGACTCGATCCCAGGACTCCAGAATCATGACCTGAGCCGAAGGCAGTCACTTAACCAACTGAGCCACCCAGGTGCCCTCACCAGTGTCTTCTGCAGAACAGAAGTTTTTATTTTAATGAAGTCTAGCTTGCTGGTTATTTCTTTCGTGGCTCTGGGAGTATTGTACTTCTGTGGTCCATTTTGAGTTAATTTTTGTGACGAGTGTAAGGTCTATGTCTAGCGTCACTTTTTTTTTTTTTTACATCATTTGTTGTAAAAACTTTCTCCATTGGATTGCCTTTGGTCATTTTTCCAAGTCTGGTTGACTGTATCTGTGTGGGCCTATTTCTGGGCTCTCTCTTCGGTTCCATTGATCTACTTGTCTGTTCTTTCAACAATAACACATTGTCTTTGATTACTGTAGCTTTACTGTAAATCTTGAAATGGCACAGTGCCATCTCATTTTGTGTTTTCCATGTGGGATGGAGAGAAGCAAAACACAAATCAGGGTGGAGACCTGAACGGTGGGATCAGAACTGAGGTTGGAAATGGGTCGGTCCTGTGATGGGCCTGAGAGCATGGGGTAGGCATCCTGGGAGCAAGGAGATGAAATGCCACCTGGGAATCCTGTTTCAGGGCTGGAAGGGACCAGAAGGGGATGGACCCTCACTTCCTGAACTGTCTTCTTAGGACCCCAGTATGTGGACCAGCCTGAGGGTCAATAGATTTCTTTGGTGATCAGGCCTAGGGCACTTATCTCTTGGGGACACAGTGTCGCCTGGGGAAGGAGCAAGAATGGGGATACAGAGTTCCTCAGAGTCCCCTCAGGCTGCCCCAAGGCTGCCAGCATCATTGCCCCTCTTATCCTCACTTCCGGGGTTGCAGTATATTCTCAGGGAGAGTTTCTTGGCAGCCCAATTCTCAATGGCAGCAGGGAAGAGAAGGGAGGCTCTGTGATGTTCCGGGAGGGTGTCTGCCTCTGAAGGCCCTGCCCGCTGCGTCACCTCTGTGAGGAACTATGGGTGGTTTCACCCGTCTAGGCCAGCTCTGGCGGACCTGGGTGCTAATGGGGGTCCTGTCTGTGGACTCCCATCCTACATCTCATTCACTTCCTCTGCCTGCAGCTGGGAAGGCCTCAGTTGGTTACACGGCTGCCTTTGGCTCAGGTCGTAATCCCACTGTCCTGGTATCGAGCCCCACATCAGGCTCCCTGTTCAGCAGAGAGCCTGCTTCTCCCTCTCCCTCTGCCTGCTGCTCTGCCTGCTTGTTCTTTCTCTCCCTCCCTCCCTCCCTCTCTCTTTCTCTCTCTGTCAAATAGATAAATACAATCTTAAACAAAACAAAACAACAAAAATTCAGCAGTTTCCAAATCGTGCCCAGGCCTCTCCCCAGACCACTTAAACAGAATCTGTGGGCGGGCCCAGGCATTGGTGTGTTTTGTGTCCCAGAGGATTCCAGCATCCAATGCAGGTTAAGAATCAGACACTTCGAGCATTGCCAACCTCGGGTTTAACCACCTCTCACTGCAGCGGTGGTGGCTGCAGGCACAGTCAGGCAGAATTCTGTCCTGCTAGGATGCAGACCTAACTAGCCTCCTATCACTCGCTCCTGCAAGGCAGGCAGGTGAGAACCGCGCCCAAAACTCCTGAAGGGGCTCCTCTGGAAGAGCAGATACCCGGCTGCACCATGGCCACCTGCAGCTACTGAAGGCTGGTGTCCGACTGATCCCTGAATCCCCACGCCTGCCACAGCTATGGCGGAGACACTGCCCTGAGCCCCAATCACACGCAAGCACCCCAAAACACACACAGCCCTGAGGGGAGGGAAATCCTTACCCACTTGCCAGGCCCATGAGGACCCCCCCAGCTGGTCCTCCCACCCCTTGGGCAAGGCCACCCATCACAGACCCCTAGGGAGGGTCACAAGCCTCAGGCTTCTGGGAGGCAGCTTCCAAGACAAACATCTGAGGGACCTTGAACGTCAGAGCAGAGGCTGTGAGAGACTGGTACAGGGAAGGCTGAACCTAGAGGCTGCCTGTTAGCAGCAGACTCAGCCCTCAGAGGCCCCTTGACACCCCCTTGAGGCCGACATTGCAGAGGCTGTGGCAATCTGTGGAAGGACTGGGGCCAATAAGGGGATCTTGGGGGGACTCCAGGACAGCTGCTTCTGAGGATGTGGTAATACTTAGAGGATGATCCCCAAACCAATGACTTCCAGTGGTCTAGGGACAGTCCTTCCCTCTGCTCCCCACCCCCCCACCCTGGACTCCCTCTGCCTGTTTCCTCAGACCCATCTTCTGGGGCTTTCTCTCCTCTCCCCCTCCACTTCTGGTTCTCCCCAGAAATGGCCAGCGGAGGGGAGGGAAGCCTCGTCTCAGCCCCTGGGGGCGAAGCAGCCCGCACAGCTGCTGCTCCTCAGTCCTGGCCTGGCCCTCCCCAGGGATGGCTCTGGCAGACTAGCCCCAAGGAAGGCACAGAGCCTGGCGGGCTGTTGCTCAGCTGGGTGCCCTGTCCTCCCGGCTCCCCGACAAGCCTGCGCTGGCCCCGAGGGCCCTGCCCGGCACAGGGCTGTGGAATCCTGGCTTTCCCAGCTGGCTCTGGCTGCAGCCTCTCTGGTGTCCTACCCTGAATGGAGAAGCCAGGGGAGGGGCTGCCAAAAAATTGGGCCCATCGCAGAACCTGGCTGAGCCAGGCTGACTGAGGTGTCAGAGCCCATCCTGAGCCGTGGGGGTCTCTTTCGGGTGCAAGATGACTCAGGTTTGCAGTAGGTGCCAGGGTCTAGGGTGGTGTGCCCTGAGACGGGCTCTAGACCATGACTTTGGAGTGGATCCCTCTTTTATGGGTCTGATTTCCAAAGGGCACGACTGCGGTCAGTAAGTGTCTTTATTGGAAGAGAGATCCAGTCTCCTTGGCTCTGCTAGCTCCCTAGGTCAAGAGGATTTCGATGTCAAGCTCCAGCCGGCTAGCTTTGACCTCATAGCGTCCCCGAATCAGGCCCCGGGTTTGGCTGGTGTGCCAGCGCCAGTGAGACTGGATGACGCAGGCTGCCTGGCGCGCCTGGAGAAACCGTCTGCGGGCCTGCCACATTCGGACCTGCGTCTGCACCTTCACCACTGCCCACTCCTGGCAGGTGTAGAGTCTTAGTGCCAGGCGCCGTCTCTGCTCCAGCATCTTGGCCTGCACCGACCTCCACCAGCACTGGATGACCCAGGCCCTGAGAGCTGCATGCAGTAGCGACCGGCGCACCATGTTGCCACGCCACCATGACTGAATCTTTATGGCTGCCTTCTCCGACTGATCGAGGGAGGGAAGAACACGGAGATGCTCAGTGGGGCGCCCTCCCCTTGCTGTCCCCATCTGTGGGGCTGGGAAGAAAGGGGGCCCGGCCTAAGTGGCCCTGCCCCTTCATTTCCAGGCCCATCCGTCTGATTTCCGGTCTCCCACTCATTGGAAGTCACGGCTCATCATCCGCAGGGCAGACCCCTGCCAGGTGGGCCTTACTCACATTTTGTGTGTCCATGGCCCTGGTCTTCAGAGTCCACTCCTCTGTCAGTTAGGACACCTGAGTCTTTAGCCCCGCCCTCAACTGTTAGTCACGCCCCTCATGAGACCCCGCCCACCTACACACAAGACTCCCCGTCTTCAGGTCCTGTCCCTACACATTTTTGCCACATCTCTCTCCTCTCACCTCTTGCTCATGTCTCCTCACGGATTGGCCAATCCCCTCATTTGTTGGTTCCTGTCATTTGGGGGGGGCCTGCCCTTATCTCTTGCTTGTGGTATATTTCTCAGACCCCAGTGGCATCCTGAGTCCTGATCTTTCTATGCCTTCTGGTCACGTCTTTCTGCTCCTGCTGGTGGGAGCAAAGCGAGAGGCACACAACTCTAATCCATAGCCGGTTTGGATTTCCAGAAGCTCAAGTGGTAGAGCCCGTAGGAGGGCCTCTAAGCACTGTGTTCGCCGGCAAGTATGATTTCATGTAAAATTTGGGGAAGCAAGGTCCCTTAGCTGCAACTGGAGAGAGCTTCTGTCTCCCCTTCTCTGGTGCCCCCTGTCACCCTTCTATTGGATGGTGTGGAATGGGCTGCAGCCTCTTTGGGGACATGACTAAGGATGTGCCTGCTTACTTTGAGTTAAATGAGGCAGATTTATGGGGTTCACAGTCACCCCTGGGAATAGACATGTCCTTGCTAGCCATTCCATTAGAGATGGCTTCCTAGAGATTTCCTACCTGTTACTGTGCCATGGAATGAATTTGGGGGGACACAGGGTGCTACAGTGATAGGACAGATATGAACGTGTCCCCCAGTGCTTGGCACCAGAAGTAGCTGGGTGGGGGAGGAAAAGGGAGGTTTGAAAAGTGTGGAGACAAGAGCCAGTCTGTAGAACGTTCTTGTTATCAGATATGTAAAACCATAAATGGAAGATTCTATTCTCACTGACTCCTGATTAAAACTGAAGTTCTGTCCTGTTGGGAATATACTTGATAACACAGTGAGACAATTATAAAGCATACCATACTTCTTTCTTATTTTGGTGTGAATTCGGTGAAAGAGAATTGATCAGAATTCCTGTGATTTCAGGGCATCATCTAGGGGAGATGTTACGAACACTGTGGAAGGCAGCATAAGAAATTGCATTTTACGCATCCGGTCCATCCAAAATAAACACGCTTTTATGAAAAATGACATTGCAAAATCGTCATATGAAGAAGTACTCACGGGTTGTGCTGCAAAAAAATGTTGGAAAACCATGATAGATGTGCAACAGTGGTTTGTTATAAACGCTGTGTAATGCTTTGGTATTTGCCGACTTTTGAAAATTTACGATTGGTTGCGATTTCTTTGTTTGTTCTACATTTTCACTTGCCTAATTTTAAGCCTGTAGTTTTGCATTCTTTTTCTTAAAGTAGGCCTTCCAAATTATATAAGCTTCAGGTCCCACAAAACCTGGCTCTGCCCTGCCTTGTGCAACCCGGTCTCCTGGGAGCTCAGGGAAAGCTGTGTTTCTAGGATTCAGAGTTAGGACCGGAAGTGCAGACGCAGGTGATGCAGAGATGCTGGGAGTCCTTCGGGGTTTGGAAGGCCATTCTGGCTCTGGCTTCAGCATGTGTCCCAGCATTCATTTTTCTGCATGCGGGTTTGCTGGGGGCCCACGGCCTGTTGGCCTGTGCACTGTCTGCGGCTCCTGCTTTTTGTGTATTTGAAGCCTCGCCTGCTCACTTGTCCGTGTGGCCATGGCACTGGCTATTGGGGTGTCTCACAGGTTCTGACCCTATTGTCAACCACACAACCCCTTTTGCCTCATGTTAAAAGTCCAATAGGCAGGGGGCGCCTGGGTGGCTCAGTGGGTTAAAGCCTCTGCCTTCAGCTCAGGTCATGATCCCAGGGTCCTGGGATCGAGCCCCGAATCGGGCTCTCTGCTCAGCAGGGAGCCTGCTTCCCCTTCCCTCTCTGCCTGCCTGCCTACTTGTGATCTCTGTCTGTCGAATAAATAAATAAAAATCTTTAAAAAAAAAAAAGTCCAATAGGCAGAAGACCCTATTGCTTCCTTTAATGACTGTCAGTCTGGGTGAGCAGAGCACTGGTATCAGTCTCTCAAAGGCCCCCATCGCTGCACTGATGGCATCAGACATCCATTCACTCCCAGCCCAGTCCACCAGACTGTGCAGAAGGGATCCACAGGCTGGGGCTGGGGCCGGTGTTCGGAGGCTCAGTGCATCTGGTCCAGGTTGCCAGATCCCACTGTTCCTTGTGGATCTCTCCCTTACTCCAGCTCTGGCCTGGTTAGGTTGTTGCCAGAATATTCTGGCTTTGTCTCCTGCTTAGAAGTCCCTGGAAGAACCTGCTCATCCCTTTTATGTTCACGCTTCTGCAGATACTCACAAAGTGGCAGCCGGTGGGGCCGAGGGGTCAGATCACAGAGCATGAGACTTGGCCTCTGTTTCATCAGTTCTCTCCTCCCCAGCTGCTGGCTCTCTTCTGCTTGAATTCTTGCTCTGATTATAAATATGGTTTACCTGTTGCTTGAATTTCAAATAATGCAGAAACATAGAAGGTGGAAAGTGAATGTTCCATGAAATCTGTCCCCGAAGCTCGTCCTCCAGAATTTATACCATGCACAGATTAGCTGAAATTTTCTATTAAAAATTATTTATTTATTTTTAAGATTTTACTTATTTATTTGAGAGAGTGTGAGAGAGAAAGCACATATGAGGCGGAGAGGCAGAGGGAGAGGGAGAAGCAGGAGCAGGCTCCCCGCAGGAAGCCTGATGCGGGGCTCGATCCCAGGACCCTGGGATCATGACCTGAGCCAAAGGCAGAGGCTTAACCCACTGAGCCACCCAGGCAACCCCAAAATAATTTATTTTTAACTCATACATTTGAAGCTGAGATTTCCCTCAGCAATCCTTTTTTCATTATTACCGCTCCCCGCTTGGAGGGCATCCTGAATGATGAGTTATGCCTTTATAGATGCATTACATCCATGCAGCTAAAAGAAATCTAAGACTATTTTGGGTGTTTTTATGTATCTTTTTAAGTTGGTTGAGATAACAAAAATCATAGAACATAACACTGACCATTTTACCCATTTTAAAGTGTATAAACGAGTGGCTTTTAGTACCCACCCGGTGCTGTACAATGAATGTCACCACTATCTACTTCCAGTTTCTGTCTTCCACATGTTTTAATTCTAATTTCGTCCCCCCTGACAGAAACCATGTAGCCATTACCCTTCTGTCACCCCAGGCCCTGGTGTCTGCGAATCTGCTTTTAGACTCTATTTCAGATGTTGCATATAAATGGAATCCGAGACCACATGCCTGGCTTCTTTCACTTCGCGTGTGTTCCAGGTTCATCGTGGTATACATGGCATGTGTCAAGGCCTTCATTCCTTTCTACGGCTGAATACTATTCCACTGCATGGATAGACCACGCATTGTGTGTCCATTCATCAACTGGCAGGTAACTGAGTGGTTTTCCCTCTTTGGTGATTGTGAATACCATTGCTGTGAGCACTTGTGTATGAGTATGAGTTTGAACACCTGTTTTCAGTGCTTTTAGTTATACTCCCAAGAGCAGAATTGTGGGGCCATGTGGGAATTCTGTGTTTAACCCTTTGAGGACCACCAGACTGTTTTCCACAGCAGCTGGGCTAATTGCATTCCCACCAGTCTCCACATGCTTGCCAACATGTGGAGACTCGTTATTGCCCATTTTAAGAAAAATTATAGCATCTCATTCGGGGTTATGGTTTGCATTTCCCCATGATAAATGACATTGAACACCTTTTCTTTTCTTTTTTTTTAAGATTTTATTTATTTATTTGACAGACAGAGATCACAAGTAGGCAGAGAGGCAGGCAGAGAGAGGAAGGGAAACAGACTTCCTGCTGAGCAGAGAGCCTGACGTGGGGCTCAATCCCAGGGCCCTGAGATCACAACCTGAACTGAAGGCAGAGGCCCCAACCCACTGAGCCACCCAGGTGGCCCAAATTGAACACCTTTTCATGGGCTTTTGGGGGCATTTGTATATTTTTGGAGAAATGTCTATTCAAATCCGTTGACCACTTATTTAATTGGCTTCTTTGTCTTGTCATTGTTGAGTTGTAAGAGTTCTTTATATATTCTGGACACTGGGACCTTATCAGATATATGATTTGAAAATATTTTCACCCATTTTGCAGGTTGTCTTTTCACTTCCCTCATTAATGTCTTTTGATGCACGACAGTTCCTAATTTTGATGATGTCCAATTTATCTATTTTTCTTCTGTTGTTTGTGCTTTGGTGTCACAGCTAAGAATCCACTGCCAAATCCAAAGGTCATGAGGATTACTTCCATGTTTTCTTCTAAGAGTTTTATAGTTTTATTTCTTACCTTTAGGACTTCGGTTGTGAGTTAATATGTCTATATGCTGTGAGATAAGAATCCAACACCATGCCTTTGCAGGGGTTACCCTGTTGTTCAAGGACCGTTCTTTGAAAAGATTATTATTTCCCCTGACTCTTGGTAGCCTTGTTGAAAATCAGTTGAACATAGAGCTGTTGGTTTATTTCTGGTCTTCCAATTCTAATCCATTGATCTACATGTCTGTCTTTATACCAGTACCACACCATCTTGATTACTGTGGCTTAGCAATAAGTTTTCAAATTAAGAAGTTTGTGTCCTCCAACTTTATCTTTTTCAAGGTTGTTTTGGTTATTCCGAGACCTTTGCAATTCCATATGCACTTGAAGATTAGCTTTCCACTTCCGTTAAAAAAAAAAAAAAAGGCAGTGGGAATGAAAGGGATAGTGTTGACTCCGTAAATCAATTTAGGGAATATTAAGTCTTCTGACCCACGAACACAGAATATTTTGCCATGTATTTAGATCCCCTTTAATTTCTTTAAACAGTATTTTATGGTTTTAAGTATACAAGTCTTGCATCTGCTTGGTTAAATTTATTTCTAAGGATTTTTATTCTTTTTGATGTTACTATAAATACAGTTGTTTCCTCATTTCATTTCTGAATTTTCCATTGCTGGTGCATAGAAA